GGGGGGGGGGGGGGGGGCAGGGGACAGGACGGAAGCAAGCCAGTGCGTTATTATTTGATGAACTGGCTGGTGGTTGTTGTTCTTCTGCCGCTGGTTGTTGTTGTTCTGCTGCTGCTGCGGCTCGTGCTGTAACTAAGCCCCTGAGATGGGTGGAGGTTGTGTTGTGCTTTTCGGTCTGGGCCGAGCGCGTACTGTACGATACCGTCGTTGGATTCGGCGATAGTCGGTCGCCAGCCGCTTGACCGCCTTGGCTCTACAACCTCCACCCCATAGACGACTCGATCAATGGCCCTTAGGCCGGTCCCACACACCTTTGCTGCTTAAAAGTTAGAGGCGGGTTTCGACCGCACGGATGGTGTTGGGTGGCAGCCCTGCTCTGTTTCCGTTTCCTTCGCGCGACCGGCTTTTAACAACGGGCTCGCGCCGTCGGTAGGCGAGAGTCCGATCAGTCAAAAGATTATTTTACCTGGGTGTAAATTTCTTTTCGTGGAAAAGGTTATGGTGGTTATGGGCGAGAGCGAACGAGCGATAGCACGAGGAAGGGCAGATAACTGGTGCTTTTCTTCTGGCGCCTGGCGCCGCTTGTGGTTATCCCGTGAGGCGCAACAGGCGCGAAACTCTCAGGGAAGGAATGGGTTCTCGGTGGCACACACGCAGCGTTTTTATGCTATGATTCAGGCAAGGGGCGGGAAGGGGGTAAGGAAGAGGCGTGGTATCACGCTTCACGCGACGTTACACACGAAACGGCGGCGTCGCAATACAAGGAGAGGCGTCCTCTGGATGGCGACAGGAAGGGGGCGCGGTTCAATGCTTGCGCGCATGGTTGCCGCGCCCGCCTCGATATGGGGATTTGTTAGGTAGGGTAGGGTCGGGTTTGGGGCAGATTGTTTGCTTTGTTGGATAATGAAGGAACGAGAGCAATAAAAGTTGCAGCGCCGCTGACCACCGATTTTGTGCTTTTACCATACCCACATACCACATTGATTGGCTGTGCCATGGATTGGTATTTGTGTGATTTGTTGCTCGGCGGAGCGCGCGAAAGCTTTAATTTAATACTTATCCAAGGATTGTCCTCGTTTTTTTGTTTTGCGTCTTTCGATCCATCATACGCAGTGATGCGCCACGTGGGCGGTGAGCTGCGCGTGCATGAGACAGGCACCATACCACATACTTGTATGACCACAAGTCGGACGACGATCATTTTTAAAAAACGCAAAATTATATTTTCGCGCATGCGTTGACCTTATTTATTGTTTCGCGCTCTTGCGGCGAGTTGCGCGAGCAACTCGCCGGGGCAGAATCCTCGCCATACATTGTACACACACACGCCTTCTGATGGCAAGATATGCTTCCCGCTCAAGTGACAAATGGCAGCAGCGGCGCTTCCAGTCCATTCTCTATTTACTGTATCTTGGACTCTGCGGTGCACAGTTCCTTCCGGATACTCAGGTACCCACGCTTCTTTTACCCCGAGCCCATGTGTCTCTTTGTGGCCTACATATGTATGCCATTGGCTTACAAAGAGAAAGTCGATCCTTTTAGGAATATAATTCTGGACGAAATTGTAGCATGCGTAATGTACATACGCTAATATAGGTCGAGCGAGACAGAGAGAAAGAGCGAGACACAGACAGACGGTGATCAGCCAAGACAAGAACCGCGGGGATCTTGCCGTTGTTACGCTCAATCAAGAAGTACAAGTATTCAAGTTGTGACTGACTCCCCATGGCCACGCATGCATCTCGTACATGTTTGGCAGGAGGAGGGAGCGGAAGTTTGTCATGAAAGAACGTGACAAATACAAATGTAGTACGCAACAACAACGACAACAACAACCACCATGTTGTCGGCAAGGATACCTCGGAAAATGTGTGTACGAACGTCCCGTGGGCATCATCAATGTGTTCGGGTAAAAATCGAAGATGCCGGGGCAAGCTCGGAGACAGAGGGGGGGGCGGGGGGTGTACTCATAGTCGTGCATGCCGTAGTCGTTAGACCATTGGCCTCGCATCCCTACAAAGCCGGGACGGAGCACGCCGGGTTCTCACCGGACCAGGCTCTCACATCACCAAGCGCGACCCACCCGTGAGGTATTCGGCGAGTCGCATGATGAAGGGTGCGCTGCATCCTGCTAAGGGTGTTCGGCATCTTGTGCTTACTTCCTTGCGTACGGATGACAGCTGAAGGGGGGGGGGGTGTACTCATAGTCGTGCATGCCGTAGTCGGTAGACCATTGACCTCGCATCCCTACAAAGCCGGGACGGAGCACGCCGGGTTCTCACCGGACCAGGCTCTCACATCACCAAGCGCGACGCACCCGTGAGGTATTCGGCGAGTCGCATGAAGGGTGCGCTGCATCCTGCCAAGGGTGTTCGGCATCTTGTGCATAGTTCCGTGCGTACGGATGACAGCTGCGTATGACTTAATTTATTTTCTGGTGCTTTCACTTCCAGAGACAGTTATAAGCACTGCTGTGTAACTGCCTCGAGGATGCTTTACCATTTTAACACAACGTAGTGCGATCATCCCCCTTGCGCGGAGTGAGGCTTCTCAACGCCGCACAACATATGACCTACTCGACCACCATTATGGTTGCCGCAAAAAAAAAAACAGAGGTAAAAAACACAAAACGGTAACCTGGTTGCCGAGTTCACGAAGTGAATTGGCTTGTTTTACAACGTCGTTGCCAAGTGACGAAAACCCAACCCCGATGGCGAACACCGAGGGGGGGGCTTGTTTTACAACGTCGTTGCCAAGCGACGAAAACCCAACCCCGATGGCAAACACCGGGGGGGGGCGGAGGGGGGGGGGA